CAGTGACTTTCATGTAATTGGTAGAAAGAATTCTGACCTCAGGAATGGGGAAGCATTATGCTAATACAGCAAACATCTGATCTCCTGTTTAGGAAAATCAGCCTTGGAAATTTTGCTAAAAATAGCTGCTATCTGATAAATATAATTGTGACCTTGTTTTTTTTTTTTCGTTTTTTTTTTTTTCTTTTTGTTGTTAGTACACTCCCACTCCCTCCCTCACATACTCGGGTCTTGCTGCAAGTGCTGTTTTGATTATAATAAAATAGAAATATTTAATATTTTTAAAAAGACCGTATACCTGTTATAGTTTACCTACAGGGCGGCAAGTCACAGAGTAGTTCACTTGACAGCACAGCCTGTAGCAGTTGTGCTTATTCTTCTGTTAAGAAATTACTTTAGAAATTGTTATCAATAAGAAAAAAGTATTTTCCTTTTTCTTCAACAGTAATTTTAAAAATACAATAAAAGTTTTATGGAAAAGTTCCTAAGCTAGTGCAAATTACTGGAATTCCTGTAAAAGCAAGAGAATTAATACTGGTTGCATGAAGTGACCCTATAGCTATACCATCTGCATGCTGAGCCGTGTTGTCGAGCTCTGTGTTCACTTTTACATTTGCTTTGTCACAATTAAGCAGTTTAAAGGTTTTTTAAAGTTAAAACTCGGGTATTGCTGAAGAGGTTTTTGTTTTCCTTCCTGTGTCTTTTCCGTGGTAACAATCAGGAGAGCATATCTGGACTCAGTTAAGAATACAGTCCTCCTGTTTACTATGAGGTTTCTGCAGCGCTTGGCTCCAGCCCTGCCGACTGACCTCCAAGAAGGGAGGGGAGTGGGGAGTTCTGCAGGGCTTCGCACACATCACGGGGACACTGTTATGGTGTCACGATTAAAAAATGTTGCTCTTCTTTTGCTGGTCAATATTGTGAAATGCTTGATGACATTTCTTCTGTGTGTTTTGGGAGAATTCTGTTTCAGTCTTGGACTGCGCTTTTAATAGGAAAAAATATCTTCCACCTAAAGAGCTTAGTTGAGATTATATTCGTTTCACGTATTATTTATTCAAGTAAATCTCAAAAAAAAAAAAAAAAAAAAAGATTAGACGTGAGTACTGAGTTTATCAAGCAGGCCTATGTCTGGATTAGATTATAGTTGTCTTCCAGTCAGTTACTCAAATATTTTCCTGATCACTCATCTAGAATATTACGTTTTCCCTTCTTCTTGTGGTTTCGTCTTCCTTCCTTGTGGCTACAACTCTAATTTTTCTTCCAATAAAAGCTTTTGCCATTCATTCATTGGCTTACACTAACCAAATAGCACACAGACACTGAGACATTGTCAACTTAGTAAGTATGAAATAAATCTATCCATATCACCTAAGAACATGTGTGAATATGGATATACATAAACATCAGAGCACAGTGTTGTAATTAATGTCACTTAGTAGCTGGATCTTAATAATTGGAATACAGCATCTTAGTAACTGGAATTGGCCTGGCAGTGGCTACTGTTCAAACGTCATCATTGACATTTTATTTACACCAAGGCTGCTGGAGTCCTGCAAGCAAGGTAGGGCTGGGTAGGAGTCCTTTGGTGACCTTTTGTGGTCAGGCTAGGCATGCAACCCATGAACACTGCCCAAGTCATTGGAAAACGCTAGGAGCTCTGCCTGAAGGTTGCAAAGGCAACCAACCAGTGTTCATCACTCAGTTACACTCAGGCTCTGGTGTGGGAGGAAAGAAATTCAGGAGGCTACATCTAGTAACTAAAATTGCTGTAGATATAGAAACATAGACCTTGAGAACCTCCATGCGTGGCTTTTAGGAAGCTTGGCTCCAAAAGTGAGTATCCTATTTGTCTTAGGAACAAAATGTGGCTTGTGGAATTACCAACAAATGACAGAAAATTTCCAGGATTTCGGTCCCCACCCAGTCTCTTTGAGTAAAGTCAGTTAGTTCTTTCTTCCAACCTCAATCTGTTTAGTTTGTTTGGGTCTGATTTTTGTTTTCCTAGGTGAGCAGCAATAGTAGATAAATTTTGTGCTGACTCCATTATCAGTGTAGGTTAGCACTGACCAGAGCCCCATTGTAAGAGAGGACTGGGTATGTCGCCTGTTCCTAATTTGCAGCTCTCCCTCAGGGCTGGATGAGAAGGGGGTGCTAAAGTGTAAAGGTCTGCCAGGACAGCAGTAGTTGTGAGTATGTATGGTAGCAGAACCTGAAGAAATTTACTGGCAAAACCACTAGGAAATCAGTCATTTTGGAAATAAGCACCTGTTTGGTGTTTTGTTTGTTTGTTTTTGTTGTTGTTGTTTTAACTGAGATTTGTTTTATTATCAAATGCTGTTTTGTTTTGTTGTATTAAGCTGTGGCCTATGCATGCCTTTCGGTTTAGCAAAACTGAGATGCTCAATTCTTCTCAGTGTCATCAGTGATAATATAAAATAAAACTCGATACAAAATTAAGTGCAAAATACAAATGTCCAGGAGGCAAACTCTTTACTGTAGTTCCTTGTAGATGAGCCAGTACTGCTGAAACTAGTGTTACGATTGCCACTTACATCCAGAGAAGTTGGACTGAGCTTTCATGTACAATTCACGTGAGACCTTTGCCTTCCAAGGCAACAGCAATTTATTTGCAGTTGCAGAGTTTTTAAAGAACATACTCTAAAAGAGCTTACAGCACTCTTTACCAATGACATTTTCTGGATTTCCCTTTTTTCTTAAATTTTACATATCCCCAGTAAAATTCATCTTTTTTCTTTCCCTGTCTATTTATCTTTCTTCCTCACTGTGTATTATTTATAGCCACTAGGACTCCAAGTACATATTTCTGTGTCAGTCTATGGCTTTCTCATAAATATATCACACTGAAATAAAGCAATAGTATGAAACGTTCCATACTCAGGGGCAAAGCAGATGCAGCAAATGAAATAACTGACAAAAATAAACCTGGAAATACAGGAAGATTTCCCTACAGTTTGTGACAAAATCTGCTTAATGGGTGAAAAATAGTATCAGTTTTATGTTTCACATAACTTTCAGTGGTACCTTAGACAATGTTGTTGAATATGGATACCTTCTGTTCATTTTCCAAAATCATCTTCCTCAGACAAAAACAATATTTAAATGGACAGACTGGGTTTTGAATATGTAAAAATGTGATTATGCTCAGTTGGGGTCTTGTGCATTGTATATACAATTTATTCGGTGTTTAAGTTGATTGTTTAAAGCTAGTTTACCATAACATACCAACAAAATTACCATTTTGATCCAACTTGTTCCTTTCTTAGATTAGATATAAGGAAGAAATTCTTTACTTGGAGAATGGTGAGGCACTGCACAGGTCGCCCAGAGAGGTTGTGGATGCCCCATCTCTGGAGGTGTTCAAAGCCAGGCTGGACGAGGCAGCGTGGACTGGGCAGCCTGATCTAGTGGGTGGCATCCCTGCCCATGGCAGGGCGGTTGGAACTAAATGGTCTTTAAGTCCTCTTCCAACCCAAACCATTCTGTGATTCTGTGATTCTTCAACATAAGCAAACCTGCAGCACATCTGGCCCATTTATGTTGCTCTGCTTAAACTGCTCTTGGGAGACTCCAGACTGCTAGTATAAGATAGTGAAAGCTTTTTTTAAGAGAATAATTGTATGGCATTTAATTTTTATACAGACTCAGCAGTTGGTAACATCACTGGGCCCTCAGTACGCTAAAAACATCTGCTTGTTCTGCCACGCTCAGAAAGAGCTCTAGAGAATCCTTTGACTAAGACAGTCAGATAATGTACTTCTTTGACAAGTTGAAGTAACCCACTTAATAAAGTGTAATTCACTTACAATCAACTCTGCTCCCGTTCCTACTTTATTCCAGACAGAATCTGATATATCAGCTGAGTCTAAATACTGATTTATTTGCTTTAGCTGTGTTTAATATGGTCTTAAAGTTACAGATCTGGATGCTAACCTGGTGTCTGCATATGAGTTGCTGGTGAAACAGAGCTAAACTTCCTGTTGTTTCTGCCAAAACTTCTAAGATTGTATTTTTCTGTTTCACAAAAGCAGCTTAGTGCAAAAAAATATTATAGCATGTAGCAACTGGATACCATCAGCCCAAATGTATTCCAAATAACAAATAACAAAAACAGAAAAAAAAATGATCAGACTTAGCAGGGAGCTATGCTTTTTTTTTTTTTTTTTTCATTTACTAGGAGTGTAACTTGAATATAGTTAGATAAAGTTTTATTTGTGTGTGTATGTGTGTTTTTTAATTTGGTTTCCTGAGCTTTGAATAAGAGGTAAGTATGAGAAGTATCAGTTTCCTGGCTATAAAGGGAAGAGGGGGAGGTCACTGCTGGCAGTAAAGACTTTAAAAAAAAAATACAGAAAAGAAAGCTTTGACTGTTCAGAACTATTTAAATGCATTCAGTGTTTTTTTTATGGACTGGAAGTGATGAGTATGCCGAGTTACAAGTGCACATTTCTAGGAACATTTGACACAAACTGATGGTGTTAACAGTGGATGACAGGTTCAAGAGTGGGTGCCTTTTGGGAATCTTGCTACAATAGTCCAACACACACACAAAATAAAAATAAAAATAAAAAATAATAAAAAAAAGGTTTAAATGTAGCCCACGTGAGTAGACTGCTGAGATAAAAGAGAAGGTAACTTGAAGAACTTGAAACTGTTTTAGTGGGAAAATTCCATCTAGGCTAATGAAGAATTTTGTTTAATTCTTAAGCATTGGTCTAATCATTTTAATCATTTTCTATGACTAGCATTATTTCAGCAATGAAGGAGCTGAATACCCTTTACTGCAGTTGAGTAAGCTCTGAAAGTCTTTGGACAGATGAAGATGTCAAATAAATATGTAATCATGCAATCTGATTGAGTTCTAATACCTTGAGCAAAGAGCTCAAGGGCTTAAGAAACACTGCTGTTCACTCTAGGCTTATTTTTTATGTGATATGGACTGTGCTGCTAATCAGATGTGGTATATTTCTATCTTTCAGATTTACCACTGGATTATAGATTTACACGATTTTCCTCAAATAGCTCAGCAACTTCTGGGTACTATCCAAGCCCTCCAAGAGCCCTGCTGACAAGTGAGGAGTCAGTGACTATGAAATAGGTTGTTGGCTTTTCTTAAATAACCCTGTGGTCCTTTCTTAACTGCTATCAAGTGCTAATTGGTGAAAATGGTGTTTGATGCTTCATAAAATGGAATGATGGATTAAAGCAGACTGCTGTGTAGACTTGTGTTTCCCTTGTTTCTCTAATCCAGCTGGGACAGATGAGCAATGCCTACTTCACTGTAAATCCCCTTACCACCACTACCTTTCAACAGAGTTATTGGCTTTTTCCATGCAGTGCCCAAATGCTTTAAGAGAAAAAATCTGTTAATAACTTGTCCCAAGTTACATTCGAAATTTTCAAGGGTATTTCTGTGCTATGGCTATTCACAGTGGTGCTGTTGCTGCTGTAAGTCTCAGGAAAGACATGAAATTAGATCCTCAACCATATCCCATTAAGAGTTACATTGGAGAGCCCAGGTTATCACAGTAGATCAATGTTTTGCAAGCTCTGAATTTATTTTCTCGCTATCTGAATAAAGAAGAAAAGTACTGTGACTATTCTTGGAGGTATGGAAATACTGAGGCCTAAAGAGAAAAACACATCACAGCCAAAAAGACTTGAACGCAATTTTGGCAGATAAATACAGAATTATAGTCCTGAAACCCTTGGACTCGTGCTTTGTATTCCTGAAAGTGCCTAACCACTACTTCAGCAGTAAGGTACTCTACATGACTCCTCTTTCTCTAGCCTCCAATACCTCAATGTCAGAGCTGTTCTGCAGAATAAGGGAAACCCACGTACAGCTTTTCAGCTGGAGTTGCCTCAAACCCACGTTTTCCACCTTCCTGGAAAATCCTTCTGAGGGTAGGAAGGACAGAGCACCAAGCTGCCTCCATCTGCTTTTGCTAAGTGCAGCCCAAGCCCAGAAGAGAAGCGAGACTCAAGGCATAGGCTGAATATGTGTTTTCTTATCAGCTCATTAAGACAAGCAGGCATCCTGTTTTCTGTGGATTCATTCCAAATACATGGTTCTCCAACATCTTGATCAGGAAACCTTTGGTACATAGCAGAGGGTGGTTTGGTGCAAAAACATGTCCAACACATTTGCTTAGTCAGCAGTTTGGTCCAGGAAAACTAAACTGGCAAAATTTTGAAAGCATTTCCCTCCAAGTTTAAAGAACAATGCACAGAAACTTTTTTCTTTGCTTCAAGAAAAGCCCACAGTAAGAGGCTACTTTCTTAGGCCCATAAAATTCTCAGAATGGATTTGGCTTGTAGTAACTCCTAACTTGTGTCATCAAAGGTCACTATTTTTGCAGCTTCACCAGTTAAAGTATTTTGTATCAGGAGCAGACACAAACACCATTCTGCCTCATTTCAGAGATACCAGTCTTTGTTTCCATATTTTTTCCTACCTTTGTTTCACTTATGTAGGGATGTTGTTTTAAAATTCCTGCATATTTACGAGTGATATGCAACTTTTCCAGTCTAACAGTTAGCACTGTTTTTCAAAAGGGAAAAATAAAACACTTGGGAAAGAAAAATTGAGGAAAATTTTCTTTAAACAAGGTGGGTGAGGAAGGAAAATGAAAGTGTCATTCCTCCTCATAAACAATAGGCTGAAAATGTTTGACTTAAGAAAGTAACAATAAGTAAAATGCTTGTGTTTATTTTGAAATATTTAAATTAGCATCAACATCTTGGGCTACAAATCTGGCTCGAGATAAGGGTATGATTTGCACAGAACAGATCTCAGATTAAAATCTCAGATCCCTGATTATAGAATAATTTGAAGTTCTGACCTGAATCAAGTAATCCTTTGCAAATAATTTCTAACCAGGTTGCAAACCAAACCAATATTGTGTACCCTTATGCCTTTGTTGTTCTGAATTTGAAATTGATTTTTAGAGGTGTTTTTTTTTTCCTTTTTTTTTTTTTTTTTAAGAAAATTAATTAAAATTTAATGCCTAACAAAATGAAAATCCTGATAATTCCCTGGTTCCTGGCATCTATTTTTTTTTTTTTTTTAATAGAAAGGTGACAGATTCTAAGTCTGAACACAAGCCTCGCTAGCAAAAATAAATATTCGGATTTAGCTGTGCAGTGGCAGAACTTGCTTAGGTCCAATGCTGTCACTTCCATTTTTATTTCCTGCCAGAAGGATCACTCACTAACAGAGAAAGAGGTTAACAACAAACGGCTACTGTAAGCATAACTCCATGTGTCTGAGGTTGCAGAAGGAGTTAGGAAAAATAGCTGAAGTGTTTGCCAAAAAAAATAAAATAAAATCCGAGTTCCTATGAAATCAGTACTTAAGAACTCTTATTAAAGATTCTTATTAAAGAATCTCAAAAGATATTACAGGTCTTATTACAAAGCCTTCCAAAATGAATCAGAACATTTTGGTTTAGATTGAATGAAAAGGTTTCATAAAGCCAGACAATTTTTCTGGTTTTATTTGCGTCCCAGTATTTTTTGACTCAGCCACCAGCTTGAAAAGTTGCCATTTGCTCAGTAGTGCTAATGAAGAGAGGCCTGGATGCCCAAGCAACTACAGGAGTGAAGGCTGGCAAAGGGGGACCTCCAGGAGGGCCACTGGTGCTGCGGCGACTGGGCAGCACTTGGGAATAGATCTGGCATGGAGACCAGCGAGAAGAAATGCTGACAGTAGAAAAATTGGTAAAGCTGACCACATTAATCAAGACACTGCAAAGACATGACCTTTGCTTCTTCTTTCTCTCTCTCTCTTTTTTTTTTTTTTTTTTTTTTTTTCAATTTGAACACTTGGAAATCTCATACATATTTTCTTGTATTCTGCTGAGAGAGGCCATTGACAGAAAGATGGCTGAAGTGCCTGCAAAAGTATCTTAACTCCTGGCAGGGAGATATAAAGTTGAAAAGATTCATTAAACTCAACATGTCTGTTTATATAGCTTTGAAAGACAGTTTGGCTTAAAACCTGAAATTGCTAACAATTCTCTTTTGGCATCTGCTTTTGGTACATGTCGCAACTTTAAAATAAAGAGAATTTATTTCTGAAAAAAAAAAAATATATATATATATATGTATATGTGTGTGTGTATGTTTTCTGAATTTACTTTATAGCTGAACAGCAGAAAGAAAAAAGGGGGACTAGGTCATTCTAGGTCAGCGCTGCAGCCTCCAACAAAGCCAAACTTGACCTACTCAAAATAACAGATAAGTAAATCAAACAAAATCTGGTATAAATTAATACCTGTAATAAAGTAATACCTTTAGTACTAATAAGAAACTTTTGCTTTGATATAGAGCAAAGTCCAGTGTAAGCATTTCCTGAACAGGACATATCCTGGAAACTAAAGGCTTCTTAATCCCCAGTGAGTAAAAGTTAAACAAATAAACGCAGATAGCTTATCTCTGTGGTAGACCCAGGACACCACTAGACAAAGGCCTCGCTGAGGCTGCTGGAGGCTCTTTACCTTGGCTGAGTCCCACAGCTGCCCGAAGCCCATGGCAGCAGTTCCTCTGGAATTTCCATTAAAATCTCTGCTTGGGTAAGCTGTGCTTGAGATAACAACGCTGACAGTAGGCACCAGAAAGCAGCAGTCCTAAAACTGATTTAAACCTGCAAGTAGCAACTAGATGTCACCCCGGTGGGCATGACAGCTAGAGACCTAACCTACCTGGGGAAATACCATTAAACAGGGACATGATAACACAAAAAGAGGGGTTCTGATGCGGGTATGCAGTGGGCAGGTCTTTTGGGGTGCAGAAGGACTCCATCTGACTTCGTCAGATTTGGCCACAACCAGGCTGTAGACCATGCAACCCTCAATAAAGGCTGAGTTGCCACATACCACAACTGAGCCTGCTCTAATTCAAACCCATTCACTTCTGTTTTCCTGTGAAATGTCATTCTGCAGAAGACTCAATTTGCTTTCCAGGAGTCCTAATATAACCTGAGGGAGGAGTAGGATAGGGCCTACAGCTATTGCCCTATCAAAACAAATAGTTTCCAACCTGGCATTGGAGGGGTTCTCTTTCCTATGGTTGCACAGTCACATTTTCTAACTGTGTGGAATAATATGAATTAGTAATCATCCGTTCTTACCATCAATGGGACTCTACATTCCTCACAGTGGCGTTGTTTGAAAACTGCTTGACTGTGCCTTGTCCAATCACATACCAAGCAAATATTGTAGCTTCACCTTTTAAGTCTTTCCTCCTGGGGCAAAACATACATTAAATCATATCAAGTCAGATGGCAGCAGAGTGTAAGAACATATAGATTTCTATGGAGGTGCCAACAGTCAGAACATAATGGATGACCTTCGATGTCGATGTTCTTTTGCCACCAAAGAGAACAAAAATACAGTAAATGTAAAATGTGCTTTTGTACACAATATTGATGTTTTATAGCAGAGAAAGTTCCTCAGAAAGTAAGGTTTAGAAATAAGGGAAGTACTATGCAAAAATGGTGATAATGGTGCAGCCACAGACACATATTGTTAGCAGCCACCCAAGAACCACCCCTTCAAGCAGCTATGCAGGCCCCCAGGAAAAGGCTCAATCCCATTACCAGTCCTGTTTCCTAGAACTCTGTTTTTTGCAGTTCATAGTAAGTGCAACATCAAATCTCCTCAGTGACTCACAGGAGAAAAAAAAAAAATCGTACAATAAAAAAAAATCAAAATTGTCTTCAGAAAGATTTCAGCGAAAGGAACAAATCCTGCTTTTCCATAACTGTTATAAATAGAAATGCTTACTTGAAAACTGAGCATGGATGAGGGCCAAAATAAGATGGAATCCAGGAAGTTAACAGACTTGGAGATTTCCAGCTCGAAAAACTTGCCAACATCTTTACAGGGCAAAATCTGGGGATTCCTGTGTGCAGGTCAATGGACTAGTGTTGTGGCCAGCGTGACTAGTCATTTTCTTGAATGTAGGACGAAGGTCTAAGGGAAATCTTTTCAGGATGAGCTGGGTACCCACAGCAGTTCTCTGACAAGCATGGCAAGACCACAGAGGTTTTGAAGCTGACCAGATGTCACAGTTCACAGAAGGGCAAACATCTGAATCACCGCGTCTAACTTCTGCCCCCACTGTAGCTAAACTGATTTAATCAAAACTGGGCTGAAAGTCCCTCGTGCTTCCCACTCACACTGCCAGAGTTCACACATCGTTCTCTCACACATGGTTA